ACGCGGCAGGGGCATGGAGCAGGCGCAACGCTGTCTCCCCCGCGGGGCGCCGGCCAGAAGGGTTGTGCTTTTCCCTGGCTCCTCCGCTGCGAAAGGGGGCGTAGGACATGAAATAGACCCTCCCCCGGACCCCAGGATACCCCCTCCCCGGCTCCCTCTTTTCTCCCCGCGCCTGAGCCCCCCGGCAGGAAGGGTTAAGAGTGGTGAACGCGTTATAAGGTTCCCCTTCTCCCACCCACAGCCCTAGCCCCTGTGCCACCCCCACCTTGGTCAGGACCTCGGAGAGGACAGCGGACGGCTGAGTCTGCCAGTGACCCCTTGCTTTGTGCTGTGTGACCTGGCACCCTTGTTTGTCCCCAGCATGCTACTCGGGAGCTGGGGTGAGCTGCCCCCGCCTGGGGCACCCGGGGCAGGCCTGGGGATCCGCCTGTCTGGGGGTGGACAGGGTGGTCTTCAGAGCCCCTCCCGGCAGGCTGCTGGGTGACGTTTTAGAAAGGTTGTGCCGGGCTACACTCCCACCCGGGGCACCTCACCTCACAGCATGGCCAGGGAGAGGGGCTGGGAGTGGCAGTGTCATTGCCCCTGGCCAAATCCACTGATCCCCATCCACAAGGTCTGGGGGGCTGAGACCCCACTGTCACCCCCGGAGCTTATTGCGGTGCAGAGGGTGCACTGGTCTTAGGGGGCCTGGTTCCGGGGAAAGTTGAGGAAGTGACACAGCCCCTCCTCTCCCAGACTGGCTGGTTCATGGGGACATTGGGAAGGTGGCCCTGGAAGTCGCTGGAAGGGGTCAGGTGGATCATGAGCGAGGGAGAGGAAGAAGCAGGTCAGGCCAGATGAAGTCAGACACTGGCCAAGTTGATACTAACAGGGTGCCCACCGTGTGTGGGCACTAAGGAGGGGTGGGCCTGGCGCAGCACCCTGGCTGTGCGCGCCTGCAGCTGAGTGGGAGGGGAGGGAGTGTTGAAGGCTCTGCAGGAGTCATGGGCTCGAGACGTCCCCAGAGAGCCCCAAGGCTGCAGGCGGTGTCGAGTGGGAGTAGCTCCGGGCACTGGGCACCTGGGTACTTTCTCGGTGACGGTGTTCTTTTCCTATCACCAGGGACACTAGTCTGAGCTGAGGGTCCGGGAACACGGGACAGAGGCCAGAGAGAGGAAGGGGCACCTGCCGAGGTCACATTCTGAGGCTGAAGCCCACGTCCTCTGTCCTCCACCTGATGCTACCTCTGCTAGGCCTGTCTGAGGTTGCCCTGGCCAGGACACGCCCTCTGCCTTCTCCCTTTGGCTTCCTGGGCTTCCCGGGTGCCATTTTCAGGTCCAGCTGTGCACTCCTGCCGTGTCCCTGTCCTGAGGGCACGGGGCCACTGACAGCCTTACATGAAGCAGGGCGCATTGGGCTGAGGTGGAAGGTGGTATGGGAGCTGTACAGGCAGGAGGCCCCTCTGTCCAGAAGTAGTGGCTGAACCGCTGAATGGAGGTCACTCATACGGCCCGAGTACGTGAAGCTTGCCAGGTACTAGTCAAAGTTTTAGGCCCCAAAAGCTGGCTTGGGTTGTATACCACCATCCTCCTTGTTTTACAGAGGGACTGAGGGAAGACGCAGTTGAACTACCTGTGCAGGGTCTCATAGCTAGGAAACGTAGAGCCAGGGTGTGAACGCGCCCTGGGGTGTGTGGATGTCTTGTGTGGCCTGCTCCGCCCTGCTCCCTGGAGCTGCAGGATTCCATGGGCTCCTGAGCTAAGCCCCCACCTCGACCTCACACCTGTGCCGTTAACAACAGCCCCTGTACCCAGGCAGTCACAGGCCCAGGGCACAGCCTGAGGACCTGCAGTCATGAGCTCTGTACTCGCGCCCACCCTGAGCCTGGAGCCTGTACCTGGTTCACACCCCAGGTTCAGGCCACACCCTGGCCCCTGAGGTTCAGATCTCTACCCCACTGTTCACCAGCTGTGTGACCTCAGCAAGTTGCTCAGCCTGTGCGTACACCTCAGTGACCGTGTCCCTTCCCCCTCGGTGTCCTCACCCCTAAAATAGGAATATGACAGCGTTGGTGTCTTCGGGTTGCTGGAGGATCCAGTGGCTTAATTCCTGCAAAGCACTCACGGTGTAATCTGCGCCCGCCACACAGCGGACGTGAGCGTGAGTGCTTCCTCCCACTGGTGATTTGTGTCATTAGTCTTCTGTGAGTGCAGCTGATCTGGGGCTTCTTGCTGAGAGGGGCGCTGCGGAGACTTCAGGCCCCATCCTGGAGAGGAAGCTGGGGACAGGTGCTCGCTCAGGGTCTGAGGGCAGCAGGGAAAGTGACAGGGACTAGATCGAGGCAACAAACACTGTTTCCGGAGATGTCTTGTGTTCATTATCTATTTTTAAACTACCGTTTGTTGGGCACTTATGCTGAGGCAGGTGGAGCCTCCGCTCCCCTGACCCAGTTAGTTCTCCTTCAACCCTGGAGGGGACTGGGGCTCAGAGACACAGGCCTCCCCTCGAGCCACTCAGCCAGGCTTGCAGAGGCAGATTTAAATCCAGCTCTGTGTGACCCCATCTCTGAGCGAGGAGCCCCTGCCCCTTGCTTTCTTTTTTATTCTTGGCGGTACTGGGGATTGAACCCAGGGCCTTGCACATGCCAGGCAAGCACTCGGCCACTGAGTTCCACCCCTAGCCCCCACCCTCACCCATTCCGTGGTACTGGGGATTGAATTGCAGGGCCTTTGCCCTGAGCTCCATCCCCACCTTTTTTAAATTTGGAGATAAGATCTTGCTAAGTTGCCCAGGCTAGCCTTGGATTTGTGGTCCTCCTGCCTTGGACTACTGAGTAGCTGGGTTTACGGGTGTGCACCAACATGCCCAGCTGGACGGCCCGGGTTTGAGCCCCGTCTCTGCCACTTATCTTCAAGCCTCAGTTTCCCTGTCTCTAAACTGGACATAAAAATGTCTGCTCTGCAGGGTTGTTTGAAAGGTTCAGCGAAAGGCAATGGCCAGGAAGGGCAGGGCAGGACCGACACGTGCAGGTGATTCATAAACAGCAGTAGCAAATCCCCGAAGGCCGGCCCGGCCCCGGAGGGCAGTGGTGAAGGAGTCCCCAGCCGCATTGGAGGCCGATCTCGGCAGGCTGCCTGGAGGAGAAAAGGCTGGAGCAGCTGTCCGGAGAGGCGGGCTGGGGACGTGCAAGGACCCGGGGTGTGGGAAGTCCTTTGTTGTGGGTGGAAAGAAAGGGACTTCCTTGGGTAGCTCTGAACTGAACCAGCCCAAGGATGAAGCGATTGTCCCGGCCCAGGTCCCGGGGAGAGTGACTTCTGCCGTGCTCCGTGGCTGGCTTCCAGGCAGTGACTCACCAGGGGAGGCCGGGACCGGAGAAGTGGCTGGCTGAGATCTGACTTTTGTGTCCAGAAAGAGAAACTGAGCCACGGTGTAGCATGCGCCGTGTTGCTGTGGGAGTCTCATCTCACAGGGGAGACGCAGAGGCCCCAGGAGTCCAGCCGTGTGGCCACAGCCCAGGGCCGGGCAGGAAAGTGTGGGGTTGGAGCCTGGGACGGCTAGTGGGTGGGGGGCTCGACCCTTGCTTTCCCTATGGAGCCGGGGACAGAGTGTGGCTGTCACAGCTGGGCAGTAGGGATGAGAGGCCACCTGTGCACCTGGCCGCAGTGCCTGGAGGTAGAGGAGGAGCCTGTGGCTGGCGGGGCCGGGGGACTGTGGCGAGTGCGTTGCCGCTCAGTGGTTTCCGCAGGTCTTTGAGCACTGGGTGCTGGGAAAGAGCGGGGTTATCAGGGCGCTCCCTGCGCTCCTGGGGTGCACAGCCCTGGGAGAGACTCTGGGGACAGATGGCAGCCGCAGTGACTAATGGGCCGGGACACAGAGCCCTGCAGGACAGCGACGGGCGCTGGGGGCTCTGAAGTAGAGGAGGGGGACACAGCACCCCGGGAGCAGGCAGGAGGCCTGGTGTGAGCTTCCTAGTGAGCGGGACTCAGGTTCGGTGTCAGGAGGAACTGAGTGGCAGCAGCACTCGGAGGAAGGCAGGAGACGTCCCCGGACGGAGAGGAACTTCGGGTTGAAGGCAGAGGAATGGAGGAGGCATCAGGGTGACAGCCCTCTCCTTGAAGAGTCCAGATGGCCCCTCCTTTTGCTGTGGCAGCCAGAAGCCTGTCACTCTCGAGGCCAGGGAAAAGGAGAGGGGTGAGCCCCAGAAGGGGCCGTGGACCTGGAGGTCGAGGGAGTAGGGTGTGTGGACTTGGACAGAAAGGGGGTGTCCTCCATGGCTCCCTTGGGAAACAGGGACAGCGACAAAGGCAGGAGCTAGTGGTCCTTGGGCTGTCCCCAGCCCCACCCTGATGAAACTGTGTTTTTCCAGTGGCTCCTGGCAGTGACGTGGCCTGGTCCCAGCTGGGCCAAGAGCAGCCTGTGATTTTACCCTGGGCTGGTTCATTACCTGATGTCTCCATGGTGACCAGCCTGTGACAGCACGGGGCCAACGTCCTCAGGGGCAGAAGGCACTTGGGCAGCAGCATCTGCACCTCAGTTGAGCTGGGGCAGCAGGCTGCAGAGGGGCTGGGAGCCCAGAGTCCGTCTGCCAGCACCTCCGCAGCAAATGTCCTTGTTCGGGTCCTGTCTCTGCTACCTGTCCTTAGCATCACCTGTCCCCTCTCCTGTGCTGGCTTCTCTGCGTCCACCTCACCCACTGCCCTGTGGCTGCAGAGTTCAAAAACAGCTCCAGGGGGTGGTGGCCAGGGCCCCAAGATACCCTGGCAACTGTCCAAGTTCCCCGAGAGGCCTGCAGTCAGGCCCACCCCATCTGCAGCTTGGTGCACCCCGGCTCGTTCACAGCACGCGGCATTTCTGAAGTCACGATGTTCAAACTTTTCGGACTGGACCCATAGGAATAAATCTATTTTGCATTTCAACCCCATGCATGTACTCCAAAGATCCTTACCACGTGCACACATGCACATTCCATGTAATTTCAACGGAAACATCGAGAAGCAAGATTTAACCCAGTTCTGCTGTGGACCCCGATAGTCTCCACTCTGCTGAATTCTATCTTGGTTTTTAAACAAACACCTAGTGAGGCCGGGGATTTAGCTCAGTGGTGCCGCCGCCTGCCTTGCAAGTGCAAGGTCCCAAGTCCAATCCCCAGTATAAAAAACAAAACAAAAACAAAAATCATAGACCTAGTGAAGCTGATCTTGGTGGTGCACACCAGTAATTCCAGCACTCTGAGATGCTGAGGCAGTAGGATGAAAACTAGCAACTCAAGGGCTGGAGTTCCATCCCTCGATCCACAAAAACAAAACAAGACAATTAGCAAATCAATAGCTAGGACTGGAGATGTAGCTCAGAGGGAAGACCTAGGTTTGATCCCCAGGATCCCCCACACACACAGCCTAAG